AACCAAATTGAGTAAGTGCAGTGTGGAAGGGCCAAACTTAGTGTGCCAGAGTTTAGAGGGTTCTCAAAAGGATCCCAAGGCAGTACACACACTGGAAGGGGCAGAACCTAGTGACTTAAGAGTAGAGTGAGAGTGCTTGACATAGTTTAAAAAGGTTTCAGTAGGAAAACAGTGTTACAAAAGATTTACTTGAAATAGTTTTGTAAAAAATAGGGAGTTATTAAATAAGACAATTTTGAAAAGGGTAAGGTAACTAACAATCAATCAAACCAAATACAGAATGAGAAAAAGTTCATCAGCACTTCAATACATGGAATCAAACAGGTGCATATATCCACTCAAGGGGTAATGGGGATTTGCGGTAAGTATAGGGCACACAGTAAGCACAGATGCACATAGATATAGAATAAGAGAAGCCTTGAAAGGGGTTCAAAGGATTTTAAGGGATATCTATTACTACCAATACAGTAGGAGTTTCAGAAACAATCCTAGAATCAACCACTTAAAGTGACAGATCATCTTGTATATCAAAACTGGATAATAGGTAGACAAGCATTCAAAGCAAGGTAGAGTCATGTTTAGACAGACTACTAGGGGAGGGGGTAAAACATGTTTTGAAAGGATTAAGAAGGTTAGACTAGCATGCTAGATGAAACAGTAATGTAAACATGTCAATTGCATGTTGAACAGCGGAACCATAGTATAGTAATTATGGAACTCAGAACCAAATTAGAAACATGATAACTTGAAGTAGTAAAAGAAACATATTTGTTTTGGGACTTGAATTGAAATTAGAACATACCAGTACAGGGATGGTAAACACAAAGTGAGGAATAAGAAAGCACAATTGTTAGCCTTGGCTTGCAGCCGGCTAACTCAGAATAATAGCAAGTAACCAAAGAGATAGCAGAAAGTTTTTTGAGTGTGAGAGAGCTTTTTAAACCAATGTGTTCATGTGTTTGTGTTAATGAGAGATTATGTATATATAGTAGTTCAAAACTAGGTAAAATAAGGCAAGAATCACACTAGTATAGTAATTATGGAACTCAGAACCAATTAGAGCAAAATCAGTACAAGTACTCCCTTAATTTAAGGGAATCAGTTCAAACGGTCAGAACAAGTAACAAATAAGGAAAGAAATCAATGTACGACCAATATGGAAAGATTTCAAATACAGTAAGTATAGGGTAAACAATTAGGGCTAAGTTCATAAAACTCTAATTAAGAAGATAGTCAGTAAGAATAAAGTACCAATGCAGACAAGATAGGCGAATCAATCAATTTGAATAGAAAGGGTAGGAATCGAAGGTTTAAAGGAAGGTCTTCCAATCAAATCATGAAATAGGAAATCCAGAATCAATCAAAGAGAAAGTCATGAGTCAATGTTCTAGCATATAAATAGATTGAGATAAGAATAACCAGACATAGCAAACATGAAGGTTAAACAACACTGATAGAAAGAGGCAAGTTTTGAACAGTCAAGATGAATACAAGAACATAGATTTTATATAAGTTAGGCTAAAAAACTCAATAGAAACATATTCGAGGCAAGATAGTCACAGAAACTCAAACAAGAATCGGTCAGTCATAGAACCAAACGAAGAAACCTAAAAAATTAGGGCTTTCAACATAGACGAGTTAAAGATGTGATACAATCATAGAATCAGTCAAAATATGCAAGAAATAGAAGTTTAAACACAAAGAATCAGTTAAACAAAGTTTTAAAAGAAGCTCTGAAACCCTAATTTCAGAAGAAAGTGAAAAAATATTTGAAATCAATGATTCTTGTAAAGAGTTCCAAGGACAGTGTAGAACGTAAAGAAACAAACTCAAATCGCCCTAGATCTGTACAGATCTAGGAGATATAGGAAGAAATTAGGGTTTTAAAAGAAACTTATATAGAGATGAAAGAACCTGTTTAGAACCCCAAGGATCGTAATAAATACAACATGATTTTGCTCTAAATCACACTAGAGTAGCCAAAAATAGACAAGTTACTAACCCTAGATGCAAGTCGGCATGGCCTTGGGCCCTTGAAGATCTTAGAGAAGGTAGACATGGCATGAGAGAAGCCATTGGAGGCTTAGGAGACGATGAGAGGTCACCGGAGATGACAGGAGAAGAGAGGTCAACGTTTGAAGGGCTAGGGTTAGGTTGAGAGTGTTTTGAGAAAGGAGAGGATCTTACAGCGGCGGATGAGGGAAAATGGTTAGGGTTGGGGGGTCGTTAGGAATAAAAAAGGCAAGACTAAACGAGGGTCGTTGATATTTTAGAACAACAACCAGGATTTAATAGGTTTTGGGTCGGGTAGGTGAATTTAGGGCCTGGGTCAGGTTATTTAATATGAAATTGTGCTGGAGTATTAGGTTTAATTGAGTCTAAAATTGAAATGCAATTTGGCTAGATTTTAAATAGCCAATTTATTCCCATATAATTTATAATAAATAATAGATAATTTCTAAAAAATAACATCATGTACTAAAATGATTTGAAATAGATATTCAACATTTTAAAAATATAGAGGTTCGATTTTATGCATATAAATGTAATTATACATTATTAGGGCTAATATTGCAATTATATGCAAATTAGTTTTAAAAATATAAATGCAATTATAAAAATGCACTAAAAAATATTTTGACAATATTTTGGCATAAAAAATAGAATTTAAATGACTAAATTACCACAACAATAATTTGAGGAATAATTATTGGGGGATTTTATGAGTAAAAAGGGAGGAAATAAATCAATTTAAAATCTATAAAAAAATTATAAAAATCTTATGCATGCTTATATCACTACAACAAAAAGGGGGCTTTAGCTGCAATACAAAACGGCTTTAGCGGCAATAATAATAGCCGCTATATCTTTTACCGGCCATTGGTATTTCGCCGCTGAAGCGGGGGTCGGTAAAGCCTTTAGCGGCCTTTCTAACAAAAGCTAGTAAAAGGTATGGTTATTGCCGCTAAAAACTATTATCTTTAACGTCAATTATTGGCGGCAATTATAATGGCTACTAAATCAATAATGGCTAAATTATCAAACATTAGATTGTAAAACCTGAAATTATAAAATAACTGTGTCAAAAGATGAAATATAATGTGAAAAAATATTCTTTGTCAGCCAACTCCCTCACATAACATCTATAAGCAGAAACAACTAGATGGATTAATAAGCAAGCAAAATGGATGTGCAAACAATTAAAAAGAGTTTCTTTCTTTGTTATGATAGAAAAGAAACAAAAAAGAATTAAAAAGCAGCTTGGAGAAGTAAAAAGAAGTTGCTTGCCAAGTTACAACAACAACAAGCAAATATCAATAACAAAGGCCACAAAAATAATACCAACTATGTATGAACCGAAAACGATAAAAGAAACCAAAGACCCATAAAAATTTGTTCTTTAGAAGTAAGAATAACAAAAGTTCCAAAACACTCTTTCTTTCTTCACGTACTAGGACGGCAAGAATAACAGAAGTTCCGAGAACACTCTTCAAGTCAACCAAGCAAACCACTTATTTTCTAAAAAAAATAATTTCCTTTGTACCAAACACACCCGAGATCTTTCAGTGTTAAGAACAAAATATTTGAGCATAACTAAAATCAAAACGCTATTAAAATTAGCAGAGTAGGAGAATTTCTAAGGATACCTTAGCTTTATCAGAATGCCAATAAGACCACTCTATTGATTCCTCGGTATGCGAGTTGGTCTATTTTTTAACAAAGCATCTTTAGTCTTATATTTTCGCGTATACTCACCTTTTAAATCGCACTTGTAATCTTTTCATTTCTTTCCTAGTGACTTTAAGAACCATGTTTCTCCACGTTTTGGGATAAAGAACTTCTTCTAAAAAAATATAAGTCAACATTTAGAAGATAACACCATATATAAAAGATTGAGCATGTTCACAAAATAATAATAATAATAATAATAATAATAATAATAATAATAATAATAATAATAATAATAATAATAATAATAATAATAATAATAATAGTAACTACTTCATACCCTTACAAAATCCACCAATTTCTTCTTCTCCTCGTCAAAATTTCTCCAATTATCTACATGTAGAAGTGTTAGTTCTGTAGTTCTGGCAATAATTCCTAAAAAGCTAGCAAGTTTTTGACCCTCTTTCCCAATAGCCTGGTTACGATTATTAAACAGCACATCAATTATCTTTCCCGACGGAAGTTTCCAAATATCTTTTAGTAAAGTAGGCCCACGAACCTTTTTGGCTTCTGAATTACCTAGAATTAAAAAATATGAATGATCTAATGACTTCAAGAATTCTAACTCCAGATACTTTAACATTACGCTACTGAAAGAAACTAGTAAAGCAAGAATATTACTATAAATGTCACAGTGCAATAAATGATATCATGTGTTGTGTTCCTAGCTTGATTTTATCTATAGTATCATGTTAAAATAAAAATTCTAGTGTATCCTAAGTAACCTGTATGCAAGAAATGGTTGGCTGCCTGGAAACATGTTACTTTCTCTGTATTTTTCAATCACGTTTATAATATACTATTCACAAAGTTAATATGGAAATAATTGACTGTTACCTGATTTGACTATCATGGCAAAAACAATTTAGGCATTATTTTATCTGTGTTTAGGCTCCATTTAAGCATAACCTAAAGCTTATGACACTTAAACGAAATCAGAGTTCAACAACTGAATCAATTGAATGATCGAGACCTACATATGAACCCAAGGGGAAAAACCTTATATTCCTCTAACTTCTCCTTCTATTCTTATCATCTTCGCCCCAACAAAACGTACTAGATATAAATAACAAATGATAAAATGTGTTAGCCACACATTTCTGTCCGTGGGATATTTCAGATGCGTTATGAAAGAGGGCTGGGGAAAACACTATCATAATGATGAACTTCAGTCCTGCTTTTCTAGTATATTATTGTATGGAACACCAAAGAACAAAATTCACCAGTGTTCTTTATTATATTTTATTTTGTTTACTTACCTGGATTAATGGTACAAATATCAAACTGGGGACTTTATTGCGCAAAAGAAGAGTTTGAATTGCTTGTGATTACTGAAGAAACCACTCGGATTAACTCACCTCAAGCTATAAATGTCACTGAAGTTAAGGCAGCAGGAAATCATGAATCATCACATGAAAAGAAGCAATCAACTGATCATAATAATGAATTTGTTTTAGTTTCACATTTACAGCATAACCCGAAGATGCGGACACAATGGATTTTATGCAGATTCTCCCCTTACCCTGTTACAAAAATACAAATAAACAAATAGAAGTGTGTTCTAATAAGTTGAAATAAGCTGTCTTCAAGATAGCTATAAGTACAAAAGTCAATAGAAGCATATGTAACCCAAAAAGTAGAACAATTTGTCACGACCCAAAATCCACTAAGGGTCGTGATGGAGCCGGACACTACTATCAGACAAGCCAACCACAATTTACTAGCAATTTCTCATTTTAATCTTTTTGAAATCATTTCTTTTAAACAATAATAATAATAATAATAATAATAATAATAATAATAATAATAATAATAATAATAATAAACTCCCTCGATATATGAGGATGTCTTTACAAAATTTAACTGCTGAAAAATTCCGTGATCATCCCAGAACTCGGTGTCACAAGTGCATGAGCATCTACCAGTGAATGAAATAAAATACAGTAACTGTCCGGAATACAAGTGGACAGAAATTAAAATATAGTACAATACTCTGAAGGAGACTCTGCTTGCTACAGACATCTCGATAAATGCAACTCACCTAAATCTCCGTATCAACCATGCCGCTATGCCACTAAGCCACTAGCCACACATAAACCTGTGCAATAAAAATGCACAGCAAGTGTAGTATGAGTACGAAAATAATGCGTACCCAATTAGTATCACGTATAATCTCGAAGAAGTAGAGACGAGAGGTCGGCTTCGACACTTACTAGTGTTCCAATAGTAATATATTATTAATACGAATAATCATGGATTTATTAAGAATGACAATAATTTCAAATAAGCCACGAACAGGTAAAAGTTTCTTTTTATATTAAAAGTCTTCGGATTCATAATCCATTAGTTTTCCATTATCTCAAGGCTAGGAAGGCAAATATCAATATCAATAAATTTCAAGGCAAGCAATACAAGCATGCGCAAATCCTTCCGAGGACGTATGGCCCGATCCAACAACATTTAAACTGTGCACTGCCAGAGGGTCGAATGGCGCGAACCATAGATGCATCTATTTAATCTGCCGAGGCGTTCGGTTCGTTCCAGAATTTAAACACGCACAGACAATCAATCAAGAAGTCATCAGGAAATAATTATCCAAAGAAAACCAATTCTCTTTTAACAAATTAGAAAAATGAAACTTAGTTCTTTTTAGAAATTCATTTACCAATTCGATAGGATTTAAGCAATCAACTATCAATAAGGTTACAAATATTCCAAGTATAGCATGCTTTTGGGTCCTACACTACCCGGACAATAGCATAATAGTAGCTATGCACGGACTCTCGTCACCTCGTGCATACATAGCCCCCACAAATAGGAGCACATAACCAATTATTTCACCTATGGAGACAATTCCCTCTTACAAGGTTAGAAAGCAGACTCACCTCGCTCTGAAGATCCATAATCGGCATTCCACGTTCTTCCGAAGACTCGAATCGATGAACAAAGCTCCAAAGCTAGCCAATAATAATACAAATCCATTAATATATACTCAATTATCCCTAATGATCCAATTTATAACAATTCCTAACTCCGATCAAAAAGTTGACAAATACGCCCTCGTGCCCACGTCCCCGGATTCCAAAATTTTTCGAAGATGAACTTTACTCATAACCTCACGAACTCAAATATATAATTTACTCTCAATTTCATACCCAAAATCGTGGTTAAATTCCAAGAATATCAATTTTCTAGGTTTTCCCTCAAACCCCAAGTTTCTACAAATTTCATGCTCAAATCCGTACATAATCAATATATTTAACTCAAGATAGGTGGGGATAGCTTACCTTATCGTTGATGATGAAAACCCCCTCTTGAAACCCTCCAAGAATCGCCCAAGCCAAGAGAAAAATGAGAGAAAATGACAAAATCCCGATTNGTGGCCAAATACCGATTTTTAAAACACTCACTGCCTCCAGTTCTTTCGCACCTGCGGTCTATTGACCGCTTCTGCAGTCCCGTAGGTGCGGACCAATTGCCTCTTCTGTGGTCTTCCCTCAAGCCTTCAGCTTCCGCATCTGCGCTTCTCCTTCCGCAGGTGCGGTCCCGCATCTGCGACAAAATGACCGCATCTGCGGTCCCAGCCTAGCCGTCCATTTCCGCTTCTGCGGCATGAAGGCCGATTCTGCGGCTCCGCACCTGCGGCCCTAGTTTCGCAGGTGCGGTTACACCAGCAACCAACAACTTCAGTCTTCTCCAAAATTCTATTTTCGATCCGTTAACCACCCGAAATCCATCCGAGGCCCTCGGGGCCCCAATCAATCATACCAACCAGTCCCAAAACACATTACGGACTTGCTCGAGGCCTCAAATCATATCAAACAACGCTAAAATCATGAAACGGCCTCCAATCCAAGCTTTATGAACTTTAGAATCTCAAACTTCTACTTTCGATATTTAAACCTACCAAATCACGTCCGATTGACTTCAAATTTTGCACACAAGTCATATTCGATATTACAGACCTACTCCCACTTTCGAAATCGGATTGCGACCCCGATATCAAAAAGTCCACTTCCGGTCAAACTTCTCAAAAATATTCAAATTTCCATCTTTAGCCAAATGACTCCACAATGACCTACGGACCTCCTAATTCACTTCCGATCGTGCTCCCAACTCCAAAATCACTATACGGAGCTACTCCCAGACTCGGAATCCCAAATGGACATAGATAATACTGAAATGCACTTCAACCCAAACTTGTGAAATTTCTTCCAAATGCTAACTTCCACAATATGCGACAAAACATTTCCGGGTCTTCCAAAACCCAGTCCGGACATACGCCCAAGTCTGAAATAATCATACAAACCTGCTGGAACCTTCGAATCCCGATTTCGAGGTCGTTTACTCAAAAATCCACCCCTAGTCAATTCTTTCAACTTAATGTTTCCAAAATGAGAATTCTCTTTCCAAATCAACTCCGAACTTCTCGAAATTCAATTCCGACGATGTGTACAGGTCATAATACCTGAAGTGAAGCTGTTCATGGCCACAAACCGCCGAAAAACGTGTTGGGTCGTTACACAATTGTAGGACAACTACATAGTTGTCCTTCGGGTAACATAAAAGCATAGCACAAGGCACATGTGATAGTACATCTAGTTTCTAACCTCTAAAGGAATCTGCCAATATTGATGTGGCATATTATAGTATAAAATCATAAACTGAAATCAAGAATATAGCAAGTTGAGCAGCTATAACTGGATTAATTCAATTACTATATAGCAGCCATTTCTACAAATACATATTGTATTTCATAACTGCCAACCAAATTCTCTGAGACCGTGAAACTATTATTTTCTTGTAAATTTATCATGAGAAAGCCACACATTGGCAACAAACTCAATAAGATATGTTAGATTTTATTCCAGATATGAAAGAGCATTTCTTATTGAACATCTTACAGAGTCTTACTATTTTATAGAACTATGAAAAAATTTGCATTTACCCTTTTGCACTTAACTTACTTTTTTTTAGGAATCTTGGACTTAAAATGTTTTCTATTGTTTGAGTTGCATCAAAGTACTATATGTTACTGGTTTTCTACAAACTGTACTAAAATATAGATTTTCCAAATTTTTTAAATTACAGGTGTGACAGGAATTTAAGCAAAGGTGAAGGATTAAAGCAAATATATTATATTAGAGGAGAATCAAAGTTCTCAGATCACAGACCACTCTATTCACTTTTCACAGTGAATAATTTAACATAAAAGTACCAAAGTGAAAAAGAATATTTCTCCGTCACAGCTCAAATAAAATAAAGTGGCTTGGCTAAACAATAATATGTCAGTAATTCATATGAAAACAACAAATACCTTCTGTTGATGTTGATTCAACTGCTTCTTTTTAATATAGCAAATGAAAGCTGTTATCTAATGTTATATATAATCAGATTGAAATACTACAGAAGCATTACCTCAATCGTCGTTATGTTGAATCTCAGTGCCACCAACAAAACTATTCAACTCATTAAATTGATCATCATGTGCTTGGATTTCAGAGTAGTTCTGACTATCCATCAATTCCTCAATATATGGTCGGGCTTTAGTCTTCTTCATCGTCATCTTGTTCAATTATCAGTCAGTTGCAACCTTTAGTTTGCGTAGTTCCTATTTTAAAATAAAGAAATTATCTAGCTGCATTAAGTTATACTAGTTAGGGGTGTACATAGGTCGGGTTGGTTCGAATTTTGCAATTACCGAACCAAACCGATTGTATCGAGTTATTTAATCTAAAGATCAAACCAAATCAATAAAACTCAAGTTTTTCAATCTCGGGTTTTGGGGTTATTCGGGGGTTTTCGGGTTTTTTTCCGATAAAATCTTCGTAGAACAAAACACATAACTTGTGCTCAAAATATTTCTTTAATCCTAGTAAGATACAACTATATAAAATATTTTTCAAGAAAATAATACAAAATATGAGATGTGTCATGGCATTATCCTAAAATATTCAACAATAAAGACAATAAAATTATGAAATATAAATATTGCTAATTAAAAAGTCATAATAAAAATAAAATAATCTAAAAATACTAAGTCATGCTAAAATAAGTAGACTAATAAGGGAGTATTAATTACATGACTGAACGCTAAGAAAAAATAAAAATAGGTTATGCATTTTTATCTAAAATTATTGCAAAAAAAAAAAGATTCAATACATTGTCGTTCGTAGTATTGAATTGAATGATTTTTTGTTAGCATTAGTATTGATTTGATTTTGGTTTGGGCTTTTATTAGCATTATTTAAGTTACTAATATTAATGACTATAAAACTTATTGGAACATTCAAAAGTTCTAAGTCCAACCTTGAAATAATACTTTAGAAGATAAAATTATGAAAAAATTTAAGAAATATTTATTAATTATATCAAAGTATATTTATATATTAAATATATCTAAAAAATTTATATATTTAACGTTGGTTTGGTTTGGTTTGGTTTCGGTTTGACTTTCTTTACTTAAAACCAAACCAAACCAATTATGGTCGGGTTTTTTTTTTCCAATACCAAACTAAATCAAACCAAACCATAGTCGGATTTTTTTTCTCGGTTTGACTCGGACTATTGGATTGGTGTGGTTGGTCGGTTTCCTTTGTACACTCCTAATACTAGTACCAGATTAACTCCAACCAATCATCATGTCACACGCAAAATAGGAGGAAGCGCCATCCTCATCTCAAGTTGTGAAAAATAAATAAATTGCAATTCATGTACACAAACAAACCCTTGCAACAGAGATAGTTCAAGAGATTAAAGGTATTGATGCACCAGCAAAATTAATTCTCCGATGATTATAACACCTTAGCATATTGTAATACAAGGGCTACAATGAGCAAAATATAAGTAAAAGAAAGCACAAAGAATTCACTCAAATCAACCAATACAAATATGAGAAATTCATAGGTGACTAAAATTTATCTTCTATAAAATGACTCAAATTGAAAGCAAAATGTATATTTATTCAAATTTCTGCATCAAAAAGATCCGTAGAAGTTCATAAATAACACTTGCAAAATAATATTTTATAATCACCACCTATCTTATTCAAAATCGCTTTCATTTCTAATGTCATTTCCTCCCTCAACATTAGCTTCGTCATCATTTGGAGAATCTTGAAAATGTATGAACTCACAGAGAAAACGAACTGATTTTAGTAACAAGAATCTAACAACTAAAATTACAAGGGAAAAATGGCTTGGTGTTTGGGAAATATCTTGAAACCAGCAAGAAGAAAGCGAGCATGGACTCTTAAAAGGTTCATTGAGACAGATAAGCATGGTAGATGTCTTTGCAATAGAAGGATTTATAAAAATAAAACTTATATTCTCTTACTACACATGTAATTCAGTTAAATAAGAGTTTTCCTTAAGATTATCACTTCTAACTCATAAAGTGAGACACTTCAGACTGCTAACTTAGATTCAGAATTAAGGACATGAAATAGAATTCTAGTTTTAATTCAAAAATAATGACAGAACCTATGAACATGATACATGAGACATAAGAAAAAACAAATAAAATTAACATCTGCATTACTGACTTTCGATAGGTGAACTTAACAGAAACTAACTTATCATTCCAGCTGGGAGAGTTTAATATTTAAATGAATAGATTTAAAATTGATCATTTTTCATTAAATAATACTTTCGTGATTTAAAGTGCAAAAGGCGAAATTAGAACTAACACTATTTTTAGAACAAAATCCAAGTCACAAATATATTTGGAAAAAAATAACATAATCAAATCAATATAGAATTAACAGAAAGAGATGTCGAAAGCTAACAAATCGAACAGTTCACATCCACCTAAATCCACAATTCAAATAGAATTACTTTACACTTAAATTAATAGGATTTTCTTTAAGTATAGTCTGCTATAAATATCTTATAACAATCGAAAGTAAACATATAACCTTAAAAAAATAAAGGAATCAATTCAATTAGTTGCCCGCCAATTTAACAACATCCAAAGATCACAAATCACAACATAGCTGACACAAAAAAATTATCTCAAAAAATGCCATAGTTATACATCACAAATTAGCTTAGGCTCAAGTGTTTGGGTACCCGGTAAGCAGAATACTTTGATGATGAAGATAAAAAAGTGAAGGAGAAGAACGATGTCAGTAACAATCTCAAAACCTACATAAAAAGAGAAGATTGAGAGTAACAACAGCAATGCCTCAATAACTTTTTAAAGCAACAGTAAAGAAAATTAGACATTTGACCACCCTCTATAAAACATATCTTTAAGACTCAAGACTATGAGTGTGTTTGGTATCAAGGAAAATATTTTTCGGAAAATGTTTTCCAATTTTCCCATGTTTGGTTGGCTTAAATATTTTGGAAAACATTTTCCTTATTAATTCATTTTCCTCCAATTGGAGGAAAATGTTTTCCTTATCAAGAGAAGGGAAAACATTTTCC